TTAAGTCCATCCAAACCCTTACCGTTAAGACAAGCACAACCATCATCGAACAAGTCCAATGTATCAACGACTCCAGGAGAACCTTATTCACAGTCGGAAGAGGATTTAATTGTGACATCCTTGCGGAAGGGAATGAATTTGGAACAAATTTACCGAGATTACTTTACACACCGAACATTTCAGTCGCTGAAAAATAAGGTTCGACGGTTAAGAAAAAGGCAACTCTATCACAAACAGCAACCAACGAAGAAGAGATTGAATAAGAGAAGGATGGTTCCCAATTCCACTGTTTCGACTGATTCAAAGGAGTTAAGAAAACCGTTTTGGCATGATGATACGGTTGATCGTTTGAACAAGATTTGTCCCGTGTCATGTTTTGCCAAGAATGGTACGAAAATACTGACCCAAAGTTGGTTTACCCTCTCCGTTCGCCAACGATGTCCATCCACAAAACCACCTCCGAGCAAGAAGGAATTGGTAGAAAAAGTGTGGAGTAAATCAGAAACTTGGAAAAAGACGCCATGTAAGTGTGGGAATTCCAAGTTTAAAAGGACAGTCTGCTCGTTCAACGGACGCAAGTTTGGGTCAGAAAAGAAGAAGCTTGTTCAGGAATTCAAGCAAGTATCTGCGTTAGAGGAGTCTTTAACAATGCTTCAAGAGAACGGAGTGAATTCATCCACTACTGCAGAGAATGAAGTGAGTTCATTTGTGACTGCTGTGAACGAAGTGAATTCATCCACTACTGCAGAGAATGGAGTGAGTTCCTTTACGATTGCTGAGAATGGAGTGAGTTCATCTATGACTGCTGAGAATGGAGTCAATTCATCCACTACTGCTGAGAATGAAGTGAGTTCATCTACGACTGCTGAGAATGGAGTTAATTCCTCCACTACTGCGGAATCAAAGGAAAAAGCTGATGACACTATCGAGAAATTGCTAAAACAAATTTACACCTCCTTCTCAATCTCAAACGAAGACAATTATTTTGTGAGAACAAAGAAAGTGAGATTGAAACTCACTTCAGAACAAAAGAAGGTCTTTGAAAGATTTTTCTTCAATTCTAACCATGCTTATAATGAAGCATGTCTCCTTCATTTCATGTTAGAGCAAAACAAGGGAAAAACACTCCTTACCACCACAGAAGACGATTACTTTAAAATTTTGAAGAATCCCCAAACCAACCTGAGATTCCAACAAACTAGATGGCTATGGGATCAAGAGTTGAAACATTGTCCAGCAGATATTAAATTGAACGCTGTGAAAGACTTTGTCAAGGCTGAGAAAATTACTAGATATAAAAACAAGCAAGCAGCAGAAAAGGAATCCAAAGAGGCTGCTCGAAAGGCCAAAAACCAATTTCTTAAAAAGGTTCAAAAAGGAAAGAAGGAGATGATTACTGATGAGGAATTGAACGAAAGATTTAATCCCAAACATTTTACTCGACAACCTCGTGAATTCGAAATGAAAGGACGAAGCAATCAACATCCATATCAATCGTTCAAGGTGACAAACATTTCATTATCACAGGAAGGAGTGTTGTTAAAACCTACCTTTTTTAAAGGGAATGAAAGTGCATGTCCTTCCAAGAAATCTACGGATCATCTTTTGAAATTTATATCTGCGAGAAATGTTAAGAGAGATTGGTATTATATATATGTATTTCGATTTTACTTACATCATGATTTATCTCTCATGAATTGACTGATCATGTAATTGACTGAATCTAATTTCCATGATTGCCCAAACAAGACAACAAAAAATTTTCACACGAGACAACCTTTGTACGAGAAAGAGGAAGATATTTTGTTTGCCTTCCAGTCCGTTATCACAAAGCTTTAACTCGACAAGAATTCCAACGGTTTGATAAAAGCTTCTACGAGTCCAATTCGAACAGTGGAATTGAATATGACAAGATATTTCTCAAGGACTGCCCACAACCTTCTCAAAATGAACTCAGAAAGGAATACATTGCATTGGATCCAGGTGTTCGATGCTTCATGTATGGTTATGATAGTAATGGAGACGCGTTGGAGTTTGCCGCTCAAGGAGAAAACACCATACTCTTTTCCCTTTCTCTAAAGCAAGATCAGCTCAGGTCGGAAATTGCCAAGAACAAATTTCTAAAATACAATTCTCGGCAGGAACGAAAATTTTATAAGGGTTTAAGAAAAGCCTTAAAAAAGAAGATTAGAAGGCTGGAAAGCAAAATTAGAAATAAGGTGAATGATATGCATAACAAAATCATTGACTATTTAACTTTCCACTATTCTGAAATTATAATACCTGAATTTAATGTCAAGGCCATGATTGCTAGAAAACAAAAACAAAGGAAGCGTCAAGGAAAAGAAGATACCACGTGTCAAGGACAAGAAGGTTATACTAATGGCCAAACGGAGAATATGGATGTGCGAACAGAACCTCTTGTTGCATCGTCTTCACCATTCGAAGGATGGGAATCAAGGGACACCACCACAAGTGAAACCACCACCAACACCTCCGAATGGGTTGGAAGAAAAATTACTAGAAAAACTGTTCGCCAAATGTTGCGATTTAGACACTATGATTTTCGAATGAAACTCTTGCAAAAGGCAGAAATGCGTGGATGCAAGGTACATGTTGTCACAGAACAATATACATCGAAAACGTGTGGAAATTGTTCAGTGATCAAGGAAGACCTTTATGGAAGCAAATGGTTTCATTGCAATCATTGTCACTTCCACATCCCTCGTGACGGTAATGGAGCAAGAAATATTTTGATCAAGAATTACCATCATTTATTACATTGGTAAGTTGAAGAGACAACTAAAATGATTCATCATTCGGGCCATAGATCTATATAATAATAACTATGTGATTATCATTCTGTCAAGATGATAATTCCGTCTCTCGTGTGAGAGATGAGTATGTGATCGGAGCACTTTAAAACACCAAAAAATCATTGTTGTCATTGATGGAGTATGGTGTGCTCTCCGAGTAAGTGTTGTTGTTGTTGTTCATTATTTTTAACGTGTGTGACTTTTTAATTTTGTAAAGACCTGTAATTTTTGTTCTGAGGTTATCAGAATTGAGAGAAAGGCATCCCCAATGGATCTAATGAATGAGACGTCTCTTGTGTGATCCCAATGTTTTTCCATTTCTTGAATTGGATTTTGAAAATATTCCTCCAAAAAGTAACAAACCAAACCATTGCCAAATGAAAAATAATCCCACAATTAATACAAACACAATTTCAACACCACTTTGAAATCTCATTTTGGAAGCGATTGCGTTTTGTCGAGATCTCAAACTGGTCCAAGTTTGATGAGAAGTGTCAGAGCCGTGATGTTGAAAAGCTGACGACACTTGAAGGATGGAATTTTCATGTTTTCTTGCCTGTTGTTCTTGAACTTGTCTTAATAGAGAAAGCCAGTAGAAAAAGTAGAATTGTTTGCATCGCTTGGGATGGTCTGTATGGAATCGTTTCATTTTCAAGTCAATATCGAGAAGAGTTTCGTCCAGCAATGCTTTCTTTTGTGAATCTACAGAAATGTTGGATGTGAAATTTGACAGGGAAGAAGGATTATGTACAAAGGCAGAATTCGATTCTGTAGGTTGTTGAAGTTGAGAACTATTTCTAAAGACTTTTCCATTTTTGTGAGTGGAATTGGTAATGTCATGAAATTCTTTTCGTTTCAAGTGAAAACTCAATCGAATGACTCTTTCTCTCCAGAATTGAGTCGACTCTGTTACTACTTCATACCATTCTCGACATGTGAGTAAAACACTGAAAATGTTAGCACGAGCAAAAGCAGACAAGAAATCTTCTTCACACAAGAAGGAAGTATTGGTTGTGGCTGTGGTTGCAGTAGTGAAACCATTCTTGTTGGAGACTCCACCTTTCTGAAATAAATAGCTAAAAATGTTTTCGAGAATTTCACGAGGCAATTCCTTAATATGGTGTCGCTGAGGACTTGAATTGGTTTGTTGACAGTTGTCAGATTTGCTGTTGCTTCTGGAGAAATTGTGAGGAGAGAGGTACAAAGATTCAGAAGAGGTGTTTGAATGGGAGGTACTTTTGAGTATCAACAGTCGATTCATAACAAGAGTTAAACCATCGAATAATTGCTGAAGTTTTCGAGGAGTGACAGCATGTAAAAGTTTTGACAAGTGACTTTCATCTCCACCAGAGTAGTGTGCCACTTGATGATAATAATAGTTGAGTAAATATCTTCCATTTTCATCCCATTCATGAATCAATTGTTCTTTTGCATCCTTCAACAATTCTTTAAGCTTCCTCAATAAATTACCAAATTTAGAGAAACCACTTCTCAACATTTCTTCACTTTCTTCAACGACACTACCACATGGATCATCTCTGAATATTCTCTCAACCCTTCTCCTTTCCATACCAACTCCTCTTCTCCCACGTTCTTCTTCATTCTGTCGTTGATCTGAATTCTCAATAAACTCGTCACTCTCCTCCATTTCGTTTCCATTCATGGATGATTCCTCCTGATCAGAGTCCGACACCAATTCTTCTTCTAAACTTTCAGTTTCAATCGAAAAGGTTTGACTTTCACATAACGACGATGGTGATCGATACATGTAAGAATCATCTCCAGCCATGACATCTCCTTGTGCATCATTTACCAATTCATGTTCGATAAGGATGTTTTTGAATCTTGTTTGATTATTTGAATGATTATTTGTTTGGTTGTTATTGTTGTTAAGATTTAATTGTTGTTGTAATAACAACTCTCCAACAAGATGAAATGAAGGAGGAAGAGGAGAACTCAAATCCAATGAACAATCCAACGAACCATTTGGAGAATCCAAGATCAAAGGACTCTGATCCGATCGAGTTTGTTTAGTTGTTGTTGTTGGTTCGGACCATTCTTCATCATGATGATGATCGTCCATTGAAATACAATCATTTTCCAAGGATTCAAAATTTGTATATTTTGATTGTTTTTCAAGTGTTTGATTTCTCATGGTAGTCATTAATGGAGGTAGAGAAGAATGGGGATGATCGTGAGGATCGTTTCGATGTTGTTTCTTGTGGCAATTGTGGTGTGTAGTGAGAACCATAATGTGATCGGGAGGTTGAGGATTGTCACACTTGTTAAGTCACCACTTTGAGTTTAAATTTTGCGATAATTGGAGATTGGAAATTCAATTGGTTCCAAGAAATAACTCCTGTTCGTTTTTAAATAATTCGGATGGAAGACTTGTAGCAAAACGACAAGTGACTTGATGTGTGTGCAATGAAGAATTTTTCTCTGCTTGTGCTTACAACCGAGCGTTCTTTTTCAACCAATGATGATGCACTGTATTGTTTGATTTCATGGAACCAACAATTTTTGTTCTCGGGAAATTAAGGATCACATGGAAAATATTGAGGAAGTCCATTTTTGGCATTTTCCTATTTGTACAAAAAGCCCAAACAGTTTGGATTGCACATTTGTTTTGAACAGCACATGAGTGATTGTTTGCATTCATTATTCTTTGACATACATGCAAGAGGGTTTTATTTTCGTTGAATTTGGAAAGCTTTGTTTTGAGTGAATGAATAAATTGGGCGTTCTTCATTTTGATCTCTACTTGTTGGACTTGCCTTATTGTCGTCCTGAACAATACTATTTGTTGTGGAAGCAATTTCAACCTTAATTTACAACGTTTATTTACATTTTGGGAATTTAGATTTCTCTAGGCGTCAAAAATTCAATGATTGCAAAATTATTGAAAAACCTCTCTCTTACTTCTTCTCGTGGTGATTCTTGTTGTCATTATTATTAGTCTTCAAGTCATGAATCTTTTTAATTTTCATTTCCTTCAAAAAGTCCATACTTTGTTTGAATCTGAAATGTGAATCCAACAAGGTAATGGAAATGTCCCTCTCCAATGAATCAAACAAAGAATCACTCAATGAATGAATGGTCTTATCTTCATATTGTTGTAAAGCATTCTTAACGACCTCTGCTGAACTTTTAGTTATATTCAACGATTTCATTCCATTCACATCTAAAAATGTGTTGTAAATGTCTTTCACGAGAGAATATTTTCGAGCTTCTACTTGTTCAATTTCATTACCCAATTCTGTGGCTGAGGACATGGAACGTTGTCTTTTTTTGGAAGTATCCAGAGTGCTCAATGAATTGGAACTAGTGCCAGCCAATGTGCTGTTGAGAGTTGGAATTTGCAGAGTAATTTGATTGTCTTGATTGGTGACGTGAGGCTGTGAAGCCACCGAATGCAAACTCGTGTCCCCAGAATTGGTCGAAACTTCGTCATCTGAATGTACCAATTCAAATAAATGTTCACACAATTTCTTATAGACATCAACTTGTTCTAAAAAATCGAAATTTTCTTGATTCAATTCCTTAATACAATGTTTCTTGAAAAGAGCTTTCAATTTTGGATTATTCATCGTATCTTGCAATTCAATGGCTCTAGCTCTTTGCAGACGTTGTTGATAAATTCCATCTCTATTAATGGCAAATCCTAAAATGAAAGCAATTGCTGGAACTGTAATTGCAATAGCTACCGAAAGATAAATGAGAGAAGTGAGCATGGCAATTTCACTCGATTCAATTGCTTTTTGCTGAGTTGTTAAAATGTAGTGTAATAAGGAATCAAGCAGAGTACCATATGCACTTCGTTCCCTTAAAAATCGATCCGAAGTCAACATTTGTACTGCCTGTGTGAAATTTCCATTCGCTATCAATGTTGCAGCAATTTCATTTGAAATTTCCAAATCTCGTGTGACATCTTCTGCATACGAAACATTGTAAATATCTCTTGGAATGGTATCAAACAAGTAATTGGTTAAATTTTTCACTGTGTACTTATAATTGTTATAATACGACATGTAAGATGCATTGTGTGAATAGGCAGCCACAAGAGTATACGCATCAATCCATGCCTGATACAACATGATTTCAGATCGTGCCACTAAAATGGCAATGTCCTGATGAGCACTTGAATTTTGTCCAAAAATGAGCAATGCCAACAAGACAAAAAATGTGAAGGCACACATCACCATTCCCAACACAGCCAATGCTTTCATCCAGGTCAATTCGAGCACTCCACAACATGTTTGAATACTCACTCGATGTCGGGAGAATGTCATGACGGAAGGTTTTTTATGTCGACGAATGGATTGTAGTTGTTGAGGAGAGGTCGTCGAGTTGTTATATTTTGGCACCTTACACCTTACACTTAGTGTCAGTGTCGTTTGCATTTGACACTTGAGTGCCAAATGAACGAAGTGTGATTTGTATTTGACACTTGAGTGTAAGGTGCTATTTGTATTTGACACTTGAGTGTAAGGTGCGAAATGGATGTTGATTGAAATGGAGGTTCTAGTATGTGAAACTAACCGTTAAACTTTGTTCTCAATAAAACCAACACTTCGTTCCTTAGTATCAAACAATTGATTAAAAAATGGTCAGATTCAACCCTTGGCAACTTCTTTCAGACAAATCGATTCACCATGAACATCTTTCTAAAGTTATTCAATATCCGTTGCCCAATATTCTCTACTCATATGAGGGGTCTTCTATTTCTGATAATTCTTTGAAAACGGGAATTCAATACAGCATCAAGTTTGGAAGCTACACATCCAAAATCATCAATCAACAAAAGCATAACCTTGCTCATGGATTATGTCGAGGCTGTTATCAATGTCCTGAACATGGTTGTAATCAAACTGCTGCAAAGAGTGCTCATCGCGCCATTTGTTCGGTACATCAAAAGGAAATGGTATTGTTTGAATGTGTTGTTCAGTTCAAATATTTCAAGAACGAAATTTCTGGCAAGCAGTTTCTGTTTTGCATTGGTGAACATCTTCATCACAACCCTCCACCTTCAAAAGTAAGCACTGAGGAGAAAGAATTGTTAGAACATGCATTCCATCAAAATCCTACATTGACCGCAAAACAAGTGACAAGAGGAGTTGGAGTTCCATTTATTCCTGGTGCCCAAAACAGAGCTCTGATTAACGGGACAAGAATTCAGAGGATAAGAAGAAAAGCCATGTCTACAAAATTTGGTTCCACTTCCAACTTTGCATCAATTCTTGCTTCGGTTGAGGAGAATTTACTTCCCTCATTAACGAAAAACTTGGCAGATGAGTGTCTTTTTGGTATGTCGTTGTCAGATGGATTTGGTAGTTGGGTCCAACAAGTTCAATTTTGTCCTAAAATAGGTTTCCTAATGTTTCCTATCAGTCGACATTTGATGGAACATGTAGACATGCTAGTCATTGATATGAAACATCAAGCGAAATCAGGGCCGTTTCTTAATCACCTTGGCATAAGTACATTTTTTGAACATGCGAAAGGAGGAATGTGCTTCCAATTATGCCGCTTTTTAATTGAGAGAGAGGATTATAAAACCTGTTTCCGAATGTTCTTGGATGCGTTGGAGTCCGGTGGTTTGGATTTGAAAGAATTGTTTGTAGGCAATGATCGAAGAATCAAGTCCATCCTTGTCGATTTTTCTCAGTCTCAGCTTAAGGGATTACGGGAGGCTTTTATGGAGAAATTTGGAAGTGCTGGTAAAGAAGTTGTTGAACAATTGGCATCTGGTTGTTTTATTCACTTCAAGAGAAGTGTGAAACGGATGGTAAAGGTTATCCCAGTTGAAGAAGCTGTACGGACGAGAGTGGAAGGTTTGGCCAGTGATATTGAGAAGTTTAGGTCTGAGAAAGCAATAACAACCATTCTTGATGCAATTGAACTTTATTGTCCAGGTGTGAAGTCGTGGTGTGATTGGTGGCGGCAGTCGCATATTGTTAAATTGTTACTTGCAACAAGTGCTGTGGAGAATAATCTACCAAGAAACACCAACGTCCAAGAAGTGTTAAATGCTACAGGAGTACCCACTTATGATGGTAATGCAATCGTAGAAATTGAAATGATGCTCCGAGAGGATGTTACAGGCGTCATTAAATTATTGGGCCTGAATGAAAATGTGCCACTTTCATATGCTGACAACACCAAGCAAGGAAGGAAGAAGAGAAACGAGAAGAGAAAAAGAGCCGACCCTTTCGATTCCAGGCCTGCTGACACAGTGTCAAGAGGCTTGATTCCAACAAACACCGCTCCTATTGACGCTCTTGAAAACTTTTTAGAAGGATTGAAAACAGACCAACGCACAGCATTGGAAGAGTTCGCCGGTCAGGAAGCTGATGATGTAATTGAAGACGAAGATTTTCAAGAAGTGGGAGATGGTGAAATTGTTGAAGTGACGTCGGAAGAAGAAGAAAAAGTCGAAGAACCAAAGGCAAAGAAGAAAAAAGGAGCAACAACTCGAACAACATCCCGTAAGAGCAAAATTATTACAGATTCAGAATCTGAGTACTCATCATCATCTTCAAATGACGTGTTGGACGAAGTGGATGATGGTTGTACAGCGAGAACTGATCAAATTGTGACCCGAAGCTCTCAAGCAATTTCTTTTGAGCCAGGTCGCTCCTTTGCATTTCACATTGAGCAAGCCACGAAGTTCGGTCGCAAATCTGCTAATTTTTAATAAATAATTAAAAAAAATAAATCGGACAAGTGCTGATGATATTTGGCACTCAAGTGTCAGGTGCTGTTTGCATTTGGCACTCCAGTGTTAAGTGCTATTTGTATCTCCTTTTTGGGACTACGTGCCATTGCAAACGGCACTAAAGTGTAAGGTGTAAGGTGCTAAAAGGTATGTCCTCGGTGAAACTCCTCAATTTGAATTTTTAAGATTTTATGGAAAATTGGAAAAAATTGGAGAATGAAGAAGATTTTGGAAATCTTGCACTAGAGTTGTGTCGTT